GAAGCCGACGTAGTCACCAATAACAATCACGAGCACCACCACCACTTACAAAAACAAACGGCATCCCAAGCCCAGACAGTAAACTCTAAGTCCTAAACCCCAAACCCCGAACCCCAAACCCCAAACGTTCGGGGTTTGGGGTTTTGGACTTAGAGAAAAACCCAAAGGTCAGGAGGCAGCGGGCCAAGGCAACGAAGAGCAGAGGCGCCAAGTGAAACCGAAACGCCCACGATTTGAGGATTAGGGTTTAGGTTTAAGGGTTCAGGGTTTATGGCTAGAGATCATTGCCAAATTCCTTTCAGGGTTCCCCTATAAGAGCTAGGGGTTCTTTAAAGGAGCCTGTAAGGAGCATTGAAGGGTTGTATGTGGGCCTTGGCAATTAATTAGAGGAGGGGTCCTATGGGGGTAACTTTGACATGAGCGTTCCTTGAAGGGTTCCTTTAAGGGTTTGAGGGTTTTGAGTTTAGGGACAAGGAAGTGTTTCTCCGTTACTTAGGGGTTCAGGGGACTTCCAAATTAAGGCTATCAATGGGGTTATGCGTGCTCAAGTAGGGTTATCCCAATTACAGCCTTACAGCCTTACTTAGAGGCTGACTTACTGACTTACTAAGCCAAAAACCTGCTTTGGGCAGGGCGCCAATTCAAATGGCAGCCGCGCACTCAGACTGCAGCGCTCTTCCGTGTCATGCATTCATGCTGCGCTTGCGCTTTAGTGTTTGCATGCCTATCCGGGTGGTTTTGTTGCTATCAGAGGAATATAGGCCTGAAAAACTGTTCCCTTATGGTCCGTGTATGATTCTACCATGATATACTCCAAATCCCTTCTATTGCATGCTCGGGCTCGGAAGACTAAAAGCTCTCTTCCACGTTTTCACCGATTTGTTGTGCTCCGGTAGTGACGCCGCGGGTCCGAAACCCTCCCACCTATCGGTACTCCCTAAACGCTAAACCCTAAACCCTAAACCCTAAACCCTATCGAAACCTATGCCCAGAAGCTTGGAGTTGAAGTTTAGTGCTGCACGATGATTTCTTGCAATCTTCGATCCACGCGATCCCACAATGTTTTAGAGGGCATGGGGCGTTCCAAGCGAGTAGCACGGAGACTCGAAACTTCGCTGCGAAGGCAACCTAATGTAGGGGCCTTAAGAATTAAAATAGGGTTTTGGGATACTTTATGGTATAATTATAATAAGGAACCCCCACGAATAGTATAGGTAACTATAAAGGCCTCTACATTACACGCCAGGGTTCAGAGCCAACCAATCCTCTTTGCAGGCCTAGGTCCTGACCTCCTGAACCCTGAACCCTAAACCTGTAACTCTAAACCCCAAGCTCTGAGATGTTACATCTCACCATCCCCCGATCTTAAACCGAGGTTGCGGAAGCTTGAACCGCCACTGGTTTAACGTTGACCAGTTTGTTTCCTTCTGAAAAACCCAAACCCTTGAACCCCTGAATCTTGAACCAGGGTGCTGTTTCCTGTGGGCACCACAAGGCAAGAAATCTCAAAGCTCCAAACATATCCAGGAACAATGACCCACAATTCGCCAAAATAAAAGCAAAGCAACACAAGTGACCTTTAAACCTTCAAATCCTAAACCCTAAACCCTAAACCTTAAACCCTAAACCTTCAAACCCTAAACCCTGCACCAAGACCCTGGCCCGGATGATGACGGCGAGCCGCCAGTTCGGATAATGAGCCCCCGGCTTGGGCTTTCTGCGGCTTCCAGAGTCTAGGTTCAGGTCTTTGCGCCCAGAGAGCCCAATACCCCTTAAATAAGGAATAGACCTTAAATCATAGTATTAAGCCCCTTATAATTCAAGGTATATATATATATATATATATATCGCTTAACTAAGGAATATACCGTGAATTATAAGGGGCTTTATATTATGATTTGAGGTGTATTCCTTGTTTGAAGGGTATTGGGCTCTCTGGGTTCGTGGCGTCTCTACTAAGACTGCGACTGTGTTACCACCAGGGGATGAGGATGATGATGGTGCTGGTACTGATGCAGGTGCCGATGCCCATGCCGGTGTTGATTCAGCTGATGATGGTGATGTTGGTTATGGTAATGAAAAGGTGTGAGTATGTTACAGTATGTTAGACAGAGAGTGAGAGATAAAGCGAGAGAGAGAGAGAGGGTGAGTGTGAGTGTGAGAGTGAGAGTGAAAGTGAGTGTGAGTGTGAGTGTGAGTGTGAGTGTGAGTGTGAGTGTGAGTGTGAGTGTGAGCAATGGCTTTCTTGGTGGATCTTCTGGTTTAGGGTTTTCGTTTTGGGGTTTAGGGGTTTGGGGTTCGATTGTTGCTAGCCTCGTGTTTGCTGCTTGAGTCTTTCGGGGCTCAGAGAGCGCATGGTCCCTTTGTCCCTGTGCTCACAATAAGAAGAGCCCTAAACTCTGATGCCCGAAAAACCCGAAAGCTGAGAGACCCTGAACCCCCAAAGCCCTCGTGTCCGCAGCCGAAGAAGTTGTCGATCAAATACACAGCAGCTCCCCCTTGTTACGAACCGCGCCGTCTCGAAGAGCCTTGGCTCCTTTTTGGGGGGCCTTCGGACAATATAACTACAAGGGCACTGTGAGCATACTAAGAGGATACATGTAAAGTGCCTGATAAAGGCTCAGATCTCCTGTCAAGATGGCTCTTCCCTGGAGGTTCCTAAGTCCTAAGTGGTATGCAGGACGTGAGAACATGAGGCTCGCTTGCGGACACTAGATTGAGATGCCGAAACCGCTAAACCCCAAGCCGTAAACACTATATACCTGGATCCTTCTTCGGTTTTTTGGGGTTTAGGTTTTAGGGGTTCTACTGCACCCATGTATATCTCAGAGGGGCGATTGACGAGGCTGTTGTTGACAAGCAGACTTTGCTTGTCGATCAGCTCTCATTCCATATGGGTAGTTGTCAAAATTATGGTCCCTTTTGGGTTACCCTAAATAATAGGTGCCGTATTATAATAAGGACCCAAAAAGGGACCATAATTTTGACAACCACCCATATGATGTCCTGGGAGCCCCGAAGCCGGGAACCCAAGAATTTTTCGGAATGATCTCATCAGGACAGACCTTGACCATGCGCGTTCTCGGCATCTTGCGTGACCTTCTATCCACCGCAACAGTTTTGAAAGTGCCACCGAGCGTTGCTTGGCAGATAAAGGGACACCACTGGTGACCCCGAGGTTTTGCGACTTCTACAGGCAGCATGGGTTCAAGCCTCACTCAGGCTGAAGGGGGAGATTGGGCTCAGAATGATGATGTTGATCCTGCTTCAGGCCCTTAGTTACACAACAACATCAGCAAGGAGCTGAAAGTTGTCGAAGGCCAAAAGCACAATCACTGCCTCAGACTCAGACGGTAGCTTGCAGCGCAGTTGCGACAGACATACTAGATGCACAGGCACGGCCGTCCTGTAAAAGGCTGTCTCCTCTACCGCCCGAGGCTAAAAGCCATAAAGCCTGAGCCTGAACGAACCCTAAACCCTAAACCCTCTAAACATTTCGCCCCAGAGCTCGAAAATCCCTGCGGCTTTAACTCTCCAAGCCAGATTGACAAAACGACGATCCCAACCCTCGTCCTGGTCAAGCCCTAAACCCTGAACCCAAAACCCAAAACCCAACCCTGGTCCTAGCTACGTAAGGGCTCTGAGGGCTGAGTATGTGGGTGGTTTTCTAAGTAGTGTCCCCTCTAAGGTCCGTTTTATAAGGGTGCCGCACTATTTTGGGGGCCTAAAAAGGGGACCCTAATTCAGAGAACTACCAATGTAGGTTGTAATTCGATTTATAGGTCCCCTAAGTGAAGTTATCCTGCTTATAACCTAACATATGAAGTTACCTACTAAGTCTCTTGAGTCGTTAAGCAGCTGTCCCTTTTTACCCAGGCTTCGAACAAGGTTTCCTGCAAGGTTTCCATAGATGATAGTAAACACCCAAAGTTGGACTCAAGACAACTAGTGTTGGGATTCCCATTGAGGCAGTTGGATTTCCAACTTTTGGGTGTCTACTGTAGGAGTTTGGGCGTTTAGGCCCAAGGGCTTGCTCTTCTAAAGCCGGAGAACCGGAAGGCATCAGGCCGCACCTTTGTTTTTTTTGAGCGTGATATTGGGGAACTCAAGCCTCAGACCTTTCTGAAGCCCTATAAAAGCTTCATCAGGCCTGTTCATTAAGGGCGATAAATTTGCAGCCAAGTTCAAAGCTCGTTACCAGCGCTGCAGCAAAAATCAACCGAGGTATGTGGCCCGCACCCAGAGACAGCTGCAAGTCTGCACCTGGGTAGTTTTCGAACTCTTAACATAGAGCCCGAAGAGTAAGAGCCCCATTATCAGTGGGGTGCAGGACATGGGGAGTTGTTGTAACGTATGTCCTTCTGTTCTAGTCCACTGCGGATAAACAATGATACCTCGTAACTTGCCTTCAACTCCATGCCCTACGCCGCAATTTAGAAGCACCCTGACACACATGATACATATTACAGTTGATTCGCTTCTTGAAGCAGGGTTGGTTTTCGTGTTTTCGAAGCAGATCATAAAGGGAAAGAACGGAGGGCCACCTGAATGGTGCAGGTGGCCGCAGTGAATTTGGGGCGGGAGTTGAGGGAAATCAAAGGTGCCGTTTTCTGGTTCTCATGTTTAGGATCATTGCTTTGGGGCTCTCTACCGGGATCTCCTGTTTGGGCAGTTCTCTAAATCAGGGTCTCGATTTAAGTCCTCCGAACAGTACAGGACGAGTTGAGGGCTTCATGTTCAGGGTTTATATGGGTAGTTCTCTAAATTAGGGTCCCTCTTTAGGTCCCCATTATAGTACGGCACCCTTATATAAAGGACCCCCAAAAGGGACCCTAATTTAGAGAACTACCCATATAATGTCGCAGAATTGACCTCGGAACTTCAAACGTAAGTTCAAGTCTGCTTCACAGAGGTCCTTGCATCTCGAACGGGAACGGTTTAGGGTTTAAGGTTTAGGGTTTGGGGTTTAGGGTCGTGCATCCCAGGTTAAGAACTGCGACATGCCGGATCTCGGATCCTGCGGCAATGCATGCTGCTTGGCAGATCTCGATCTCTCCATGGATCCGGCGGAAGCCTACTCCCACACCCTCAGTGTCTTGAAGGGCTTGCAGGACGTCGGCTACAGCTATGTGACTGGCGGCGACCCGGAACATGATCACGTGCTCTTTGACGACCCTCATCCGGGAGATGACCTCCGCGATTTCAACATCACGACGCCGAAGCCCTTTAAGTATCTCTTCCAGGGCCGCCACGATGCTCCCAAGTACAAGGGTCCAAACGGCGACATCCTGAACTTTGCGATCTACGAATCCGGCGCTGGCTCCGTGCTGCGCATGTTTTCGATTAGCCGGATCCATGGTGCGGTGGGCGACTATGGCCAGAACTACAAGACGCTGCATTTCCTCTCCGACACTTAGTTCCCCAATACACAACCTTTAAACTTTTTGGGCTCTTATAATTTAGTAGCAATCTGAAAGTTTAACCTTGTATTGCCCTGGCTTATTGGTGAAGTAAGGACAAGCTCACCTCCAAGGAGCCCACTCGGGTGCATGGTTGTGGCCTTCCCATTGCATCTTCGGCAGCGGCCCCACCCTCCACCTCCGATCCCGCCAAGCAAAGCTCCTCGAGTGTGTGCGGAGCCTCTCCTTCCGAAGTTCCGGACTGCGATAGGCCGGATTTGGGCTCCTGCGGCAATGCATGCTGCATGGCAGAGCTCGACCTCTCCATGGAGCCGGAGGCAGCATATGCACAAGCCCTGGATGCTTAGTTCCCCAATACCCAACCTTCAAACTTTTTGGGCTCTTGTAATTTAGTAGTAATCTGAAAGTTTAACCTTTCATTGCCCTGGCTTATTGGGGAAGTAAGGATGTACTGAAGAGCTTGAAGGACGACGGCTACCGCTACGTTACTGGCGGCGACCCCAATCCAGGAGATGATGTCCCTAGGTGGCCTTTGAGAAACTTTAGAGTCTCCCTGATGGGAGTTTCTGAATCCTTTGTTGGGGCGTCCCTATATGATAAGGATCCTCTTGTTTAGGGTACTATATTAGGGTCCCCTATTTTCGGAAACCCCCTTATGGTCCTAAAGAGGTACCTACTCGGAAATACTTCTGGGGTCCCAAAACTACGACCCAGGCAAACCCTAAACCCGGCAAACCCTAAACCCTAACCCCTAAACCCAAAACTACGGGAAAACAAATCGTAAACTCTTAAACCCAAAACTACGGCAAAAAATCAAACCCTAAACTACGGCAAACCAAACCCTAAACTCTAAACCCGAAACTACGACAAAACAAACCCTAAACCCCAAACCCAAAACTACGGCAAAACAAAACCTAACCTCTAAACCCTAAACCCTGATAGTCCTAAATTACGGCAAAACTACAACCCAGCTCCGCCACTACAACTTCACGAAGCCGGAGAGCTTCCAGTTCATCTTCCAGGGCCGTCATGATTCTGGGCCTCTCTTTGGGGGTTTAGGGTTTAGGGTTTAGGGTTTAGGGTTTAGGGTTTAGAGTTCAGGGTTGGGGATTCTAAGGTTTTTGGAGATCTTTCAGTTCAGGGTTTTAGGGTTTTAGGGCTTCTCCTGAGGAATGTCTGTCAAGTTACCATAAATTTTATTAAATGTGGTAATGAGTATGGTTCCCCCATTGTGGTACAGTAGGTGATTCTGGGCTTCTCTTGAGGAATGTCTGTTGAGCTGCAATGCTGGGGAAATAGGGTAATGAATATGGTTCCCCATGATGGTAGTTGAAATGAATAAACTCCCTAAAGAGAAACCCAGGATTCTCCAAAGTACTCGGGTCCAAACGCCGACATCTTGGACTTCACGATCTACGGATCGGGCTCGGGCTCCGTGCTGCGAATGTTTTCCATCAGCCGGATCCATGGCGCTTTGGGCGACCATGGCCAGAATCTCGCGTCGGTTTAGGGGTTTGGGGTTTAGGGTTTAGCTGCGTTTTTGTACGTGATCCGTGGTCCAAGCTGTCTATCAGGGTCTTTGACTTCCTTTTTTGGGATGCAGGAAAATAGGGATTCCGTAGTAGTTACCAGCTTGGAGCAGAGATCATTCTGGTTAGGGTTTAGGCTCTAGGGTCTAGAGTTAGGATGTGTGTATTGGTGTCCTTCTTTTTGGAAAACTCCGGCTTGTTTTGTAAGGAATTATAAGACTCTGTCCTTCATGGCGGAGAAGCTGGATGCATCGAAGAAGCCTGTCCCGAAACACGGCTGCGTCTTGACTGCATCAAGTTGGTTAAGCCTACCCCTAAACCCTAAACCCTAATCCTTAGCCCTACCCATACTCTCTTATAATAGGATGTACCCCGAAGCCACGCAAAACTCATTCTCATTGTTAAGGCCGATAAACCTTCCGGCGCTGAGACAAATCTGGCACATGTCGCTGTATGCGGCTATCTATAAGAATGAGGTGCTATTTTGGCGAACAAAACAGGAACCGAATTCAGAGAGTCGGTGTCCCAAGCCCCTAAACCCTAGACCCTAAACCCTTAACCCCTAAAATCTGATGCTCCGAAACACTCAGCCTGATTGTTTTCAGGCCGAATCTCGCCCCGGGGCCCGAAACCCTGTTCTGGACCTGTGTGTTGCTGACGGTAAGAGGCCGTCCCAGTGTGATGTCGTTTTCGGAATCAGAAATCACCTGCGGTTTCCAAACAAGGCACACACTTCGATCCAAATGACGATTTCCCATAGGAGCCCTATGTTTTTTGTTGGAAGTTATTTCGTTTTATGCTGGTAGTGTTTATTGCCTTTTGTTTTCCATGCTTTGGAATGTGTTGGCCTGGTTTGCCTTCTGTGTTTGATTGCTGTTGTCTCGTTGTTTTGCTCTTGCTTTTTGCGCTTCTCTGCTTCGCTCTTCTGCTCCTCGGCTTTTCTGCTTGTCTGCGGTTGTTTCGGCCTTCTGTGTGTTTACTTGTCGTTGTCTGTTTGTTCTCGCTGCTGCTTCTCAGCTGTTCTGCTTTTCCGCTTTTTGGGTCTCCAAATGAGGAGGCGGGTTTGAGAACTACGATCAACCGCAACCGCCTACTCAAGGGGCCTGTTTAAGATACGCGATGGCTAAGATATGGATCGGAATCGCCAAAGGAAGGGGCGTGTGTAAGATGTGTGATGAATTTGTATCGACACATGAGCGGGGTGTTTAAGATGTGTGTTGAATCGGCATCGCCGAAAGAGGGTGCGTGCTCAGGATATGTCATGATTCAGCCTCGCCAAAGGAGGGGGCGTGTTTAAGCTATGTGATCAACCTGGATCGGCAAATGAGGGGGCGTGTCTAAGATATATGATGAATCGAGCTGCGCCTAGGCCTGGACAACAGGACCGAAAACGCAAAAAATAATACAAACAAAAAGACAAGACAACCCTAAATCAATCCTGTTGCCTTTCCCACACCCAGGTGGACTGACGACGAGTGCTCAAGCAAAGCCGTGATCGTGATAGCCAACAGGCCGGTTGCCACTACTCCGATTTTTGTTGTTGTGCCGTCCCGGGCCTGAGCTTTGTACTATGTCGGATCAAGTACCAATGTTATACCTCGGGGTTCCTGTCATAATTACAGTATACTATACCCACAGAAACCTATTCCAGTTTTTGTAACGCCCCGTCAGTATTAGACCTTATATAAAGGTCCCGTATAGCAACCCTTTTACAACCCCTGTAAGGAGCCTTTACAGGAACCCTATGCTATTGATAGTTACGATTATGTTCTTCTCCTGGTGTTATTGTCATGATTACTATTATTGTTATTAGTATTGCTATTATTTTTTTATGAATATTGCCACTAACAAGAATAGTGTTATTTTCTCATTATGACATTCGCGCATATTGCTAGAATTATGATTATTACAACTCTTGTTATTGTTCTTGTTAGCACCACTACAACAACAACAACAACAACAACAACTACTACTACTACTACTACTACTACTACTACTACTACTAGTAGTAGTAGTAGTAGTAGTACTACTACTACTAGTAGTACTACTAGTACTACTAGT